AACACACCTCCAATGAACAGTTATGAAAAGTATGAGTAACTGTTCTTTATGGGGTAGTGCCAGCCTTTAGTGGGCTCTATAAGAATATGAATCTCATTTTCCAGATAAGTAAGTGTAGTTTTTAACTTTAAAAAGAATACTTTCATTTTTAGTGGAAAAAGTTGTAGATATTTCCACCAAAGTTGAATGTGTCATATATGACCACTAAATCAGAGCCAACAGGTATTAGTAAGGATCCTAATGTGACTGTTTGCCCTTCTGACAGCAAAACATGTTGCAAAGTAACCGTGGCATCTCTCCACATAAGTTATTCTTAAAGGGCATTGAAGCCTTTCTGGTTAAACCTCATTCAGGCTCTTGCACAGACTTCCTCCAAGAAGTCCTGAGGAGAAATACAAGATTTGTTTACGTACTGGTAACATGAAACTTCTTTTATCCCCCCTCATACACCCTCCGTCCCTCCCCTCTGCCCTTGGGCCCTCTGAAACCTCTACATGGCCTTCTGGCCTTGTTTTCCACCCCAATAATACCTAGTCTCTGGGGGTTTTCCAGGTGCAACTGGAGGAGTTTCTACAGTCCTGGGCTCTGCTTGGCATTCAACCTTCCTCACTCCCATTTTGGGGCCAGTGCCTTGTTGGAGGATGAGCCCAACGTTGAGATTTACAGTTGGAGGAGGCTTTAGGGCCCCTTTACCAAAATAATCAGCCCAGGGTACTGACATGCTTAAGCATTCTCACAGCAAAGAGAACCTACCCAGAGGACAGGTCTGGGATGCAAAGTTACAAAGCCTCAGCTGTTTGAAATGATTGAGGATCCCTCTGCCTTTTAAAACCCAAGAAACTTTGCCTCTCCACTTTAGGTAAGGTTTACCTATAGGTAAGGTTGCTAAACATTGTGTCCAAGGAATGTGATCCGATGAAAGAGCATTCTGTCAACTCCTGCCTGATGGCATGGGAGTGCCTTGTGACACCCTACAGATACCAGTTGCATTTTCCGCATCCCCACAGTGGATGCTTAAATTACTTTATTTCTGTCCTCTCCCTCTATTCTGTCCACAGATTTTGTGGCCCTTGCCTTGGACTGCACAGGTAGGAGAGAATGTGTGTTTCCCTCCCCTTCCCACCATTGCCTTCCATGCTGCCGTCCATGCAGTTCTCATTTCCAGGACACTTCAGGTAGACCTGAAGAGGGTTTCAGCTTTTATCCAATTTCCTTAAGATCTAATCATGAAGGTCTAGCATCTTGTTTGATTGCCACCTAGAACACTTCCTACTTGTATGTTGCTGTTTTTGATGGCACCCAGACAGTCTTTGTACAGTGGGTTGTAGACATACAAGACTGAGAAGCTGTGGAGGGTTTGAAGTCTAAACTGATTTGGCCCTTAGGGGATTAAAACTATTTGAGGATTTAAGTAGAGCACTTACGGCCTGATCTACACTACAAAGGTAGGTCATCTTAACTACCTCGCTCAGGACTGTGAAAAATTTCACACACCCCCCCACCCCTTAACTGTGATGCAGTTAAGCCAACCTAAGCCCCAGTGTAGACACTGCTAGGTTGTTGAAAGAATTCTTCCATCAATCTAGCTACTGCTTCTTGGGAAGGTGGAGTTACTGAAGAGCCCCTTCTGTCACTGTAGTAAGTGTCTTCACTACAACGCTACAGTGGCACGGATGCAGCTGTGCCACTGTAGCATTTCTAGTGTAGACATACACTAAGTAGCACTTGAGTCCCATAAAGATCCATATCTCCAGTCCATGTCCTTCCTTACATTCACCTTTTGTGCCAGCCAAAGAAGGGGATTTCCCTAGGATATTTCATTAAATTTCTTCCAGGACTTTGCCCCTCAAAGTTTCTCAGTACTGCCAGGGCCAAAGCATATCTTTCAGAAAGACACTCAGACCTGATCTGAAGATATCTTCCCTTAATAATTTGTTCCAATAGTTAATCACCACCTTTGTTTGTTTGTTTTTAAATAAATAAACGTGCCTGATTTCTCATTTGCCTGGCTTTATGTTCCAGCCATTGGCTCTTGTTATTCCTTTCTCTGCCAGCTTTAAGAACTCTTTATTACCTGGTATTTTCTCCCCATGAAGATATTTCTATACCATAATCAAGTCACCTCTTATCCACCTTTTTGATAAGCTAAATGGTAAGAACTCTATAAGTCTCTTGTAAGGGATTCTTTTAAGCCCTTGAATAATTGTTGTGGCTCTTTTCTGCACCCTCTCCAATTTTTCTACATCCTTTTTAAAATGTGGACACCAGAAATGAATGCAGTATTCCAGTATCAGTCTCACCAATGCCATATACACCTCCTTACTTTTCCTTACTAATCCCATGTTTACACATCCAAGGATCACATTAGTCCTTTCAGCCACGGCATTGCACTAGCAGCTCCTTTTCCGTTGTTTGTCCACTATGATCTCTAAATCCTTTTGAGAGTATTTCCCATTCTTTATGACCTGCATTTTGTTCCTAAATATATGATCTTGCATTTGACTGTATTAAAATGCATTTTGTTTGAATGGGCCCACCTTGCCAAAATATCCAAATTAGTCCAAATGACTTCCCTTACCACTCCACCACTCTTTGTGTCATCTGCAAATTTTAGCAAAAGCGATAAAGTTCCTTACTGTAGCCAATGTAATGCTGGCCAAAGAAGAGTATTTTTGTAGTTTTTCCTTATTGGCTGGCATGGGGATTTTATTCCTGATACTTCATGGAAGAATTCTATATTTGTGCCTTCTCAGTCTGAGAGTCTGGAAAGAGAGGTTTCATGTGGAAACCCTCAGGTACATCCTTCAGGCCATGCACAAGGTGGTTTCCTTTGCTCAGAAGGATATATACCTTTATATTCCCATTTGTCCAGATCCTGGTGTTATCTGTGCTACCCATTAATAAATTTTATTTATAGTTTTTGCTTCATCTCACCTGGACAAAGGATCCTGTAAAAAGGACCTTGCCCCTTCCCACCCCCCTTCCACTGTTGAGGAACTGTAGCACCAATGTGCTTGAACTATAGGTAAGGTTGAGATTTTTATTTTTACTAAAAATAACCAACAGTTTGCGGGCAATAAACAAAAATTCACAGACGTTTGTGACCTGTCTCTGACTTTTACTGAAAAAAATTCAGGGGCGGGGAGGCTGACGGGGGCTGTCTGAAACCTGAGGGGGTGATGAGAGCCCAAACCCTGCTGCGGGGCGGGGGCTTGGAACTCCAGGGTTCCCCCGCCACCCGCAGTGGCTCACAGCTCCAAGGTTCCGCATCGCCCACGGAGGCTCACAGCTCTGTGGTCCCTGCCTCCTGCAGTGGCTCTCAGCTCTGGGTCCAGCGGCTAGGAGCTGTGGGGGGGTCACCTGCTGTCTGCATATGCTGAGAGCTGTCCCCACCGGCTGACAGCTCTGGCTCTGCCGCCCTGCGGCTGAAGCAGAAAATGTCACAGAGGTGTCTGTAAATCACGGAATCCGTAATCTCTGTGACATAATTTTATCCTTAGCTATAGGTTATCTATCTGACTCTGCTTGTCTGGGAGACTCTGTCAGCCCACCGCCATGTCCTAATCCATTGCAGCAATTGTTCAGCAATGGTGTGTGTAAACAGACAAGGGGGCATTGCCATCTCCTTACAGAAGTCCTTTGCATATGGACAGAAACTCACCTCGCTTTTCTGAGCCTTATACCTCAAGCCATTCACTTTCTCAAAAGGAAACTTCATTCCCTTAAAGTAAAATGGGTACAGAAGTTCTATAGGTCTGTCATCCAGACATTTCTGGTTTTCGCTTCAAGGACTGTAAATAAGGCAAGCCTTGGCAGATTACCTTCTCTTGGTGGGTAAAAGACTGCTTCCTGATAGAGTATGATCACCTTGATGGAACACCTTGGCTCTGGAAGACCTTGACCGCAGTTTATCAGATCCTTCCTAACTTATTTACCTTGTGGGCTTGAGGGCCAAGGTATCTCTCCTTCTGCAAAACAGCCATATATTCACTTCTGCTTTACATACTTATCTGCTACTGTCAGCTGAATTTGTCTGTGGCAGACTCTGAATTTGGCAGAGTAGTACTCCAAGCGCTCCCTCATCTCTGGAGTCCACTAGTTGCTACATCTACTGATCATCATATCTGTTTCTGGGTAGGATGGGAGAAGACAAGACTATGACAAATAAGATTGCTGTTGAGAAGTCTTTTCCATTAATTAAATATCAGAGGCAAAGTCCAAAGTGCACAGATTTAAGAATTTACCTGTTAATATTTACAACATAATTGTCTAAACATCTCTTCCAAGGATTTGATTCTCATTAACTATGAAATTGCTCTACCTCATCTTATAGAGAAATGGAAATTTGTGGATTGAACAGTTTGATTTGAATGCTTCCTAGATTATTAGGAATTGAAGGTTGTGCAATACTGTGTTAATTTTGCTAATTTAACTTAATTTTGCCTAGATTTGCACTAGTGTTTTGGCTGTGTCCTCAGATTTATCGTAATACTTTGCCCATTATTTGAAAAACAGGTATCTCTGCTAGTACTTAATGATTTAGACAAGAATTTTTACATCACTTGTAAAGCCATTACCTTTTAGCACACCACTTTTCAATGTGTAATCTATATGCTAATTAGACACTTGCACTTGTAAATTACAGCTACAAAAATACATTTCAGAAGATGTCTGTTCAACTGGGTAATTTTTTGTTTACCTTAAACTAAAAGCTAATTTATTTGCCTATTTTCCCGTTGACACAGTATTGTTTTATCAGATGCCAACATTGCTATATTTTGTGAAAGGGATATAACCAACAGGGATATGGCAAATCCTCTTTATATACAGCATATAAATTGAAAAGCCAAAATAAATAAAAATTGTCCAATATAATGCCAAGTCTACAGTTATCTTCCAATTTGTTGTTCTAGCCCTGCAGGGATATGGAATATGGTTTAAAAAAAAAAAAGATTTTGTCAAACCATGCGTGGTCTCCTCATGCATTTTCAAAATCTAAAAATTGTAGCTGTGCAAACCAGTGTAGAGAGTGTGTGTGTTTGTGTATATAATGTGAATTAATAGGAATTTAGTATGCACATGGTTTTCATCAACAGTATCTAGTTCTCACTGTACTTGCAAACTGACTTTGTCGCTGTTAGGGAAGTCTAGACAATGAATCATATATTGTAATCTTGTCTACGAAAACAATCATAAACATACCATTTATTTTTCTCTTAAATTCAGGGCAAGCATTCAAAAAAGAGTCACTGTTATCCACCCATGAACAGAGATCACCGCAGAATCATCCATGAGTTAGCTCAAATTTATGGCATTGAGAGTGTGAGCTATGACAATGAACCAAAGCGTAATGTTGTTATCACTGCAGTGAAGTATGTTATCTTAATAGTTTTTATTTTAGTTTTCAAAGTAATTAACATCCATTCAGTAGATTTGAATATTGTGTTTTCTATATTTTGTTCTGAGTTTACTTTATTTACAACTTGCAAAATACATCCTTTATACTTTGTAAGTTCTATAGAAGCAGCTTTTAAATGGTTGGGGTGGAGGGAATGCATAATCTCACACGATTGTATTTCCATCAGTTTGGGGGTATTTCTTCTGATTTCACCTCAGTCTCCGATTTTTAAATATGACAGGACTGTCCAATTATAGTTCCTTTGACTCCAAGCTGTGTTTTTTCTGGTCACAAGAGGTTGCTGCTCTCACTGCTGCTGAGTAACCCACAAGCATGAACTCCTGCTCCTGATGATGATCACTTCCCCTCTTGCCAGCTTCCCCACAGTCTGTTTTACCTTTTCAAGAGAAGGGGAAGAGGCATCAGCTAGATGCAGGGAGGAACTTTTAATGGGGGCAAAAAGAAGGGAAGTCTTAAGGTGAAAAGTGAGGGGGGAGCAACACCCGAGAGGGACTAGGACAGGGGTCGGCAACCTTTCAGAAGTGGTGTGCCGAGTCTTCATTTATTCACTCTGATTTAAGGTTTCATGTGCCAGTAATACATTTTAATGTTTTTAGAAGGTCTCTTTCTATAAGTCTATAATATATAACTAAACTATTGTTGTAAGTAAGGTTTTTAAAACGTTAAGAAGCTTCATTTAAAATTAAATTAAAATGCAGAGCCCCCCGGACCGGTGGCCAGGACCCAGGCACTGTGAGTGCCACTGAAAATCAGCTTGCGTGCCGCCTTTGGCACGCGTGCTATAGGTTGCCTACCCCTGGACTAGGATCAGAGAAAGGGAGAGAAATTGAGTGAAAAAGAAAAGGGAGATGCCTCATAAAGATGCCAGAGAAGGGATCAGGCCAACTGATCATTGCCAATCACTCTGGAAGAGGATAGCCAGTTTCTAGTGCAGGGGAAACCAAGCCCTGTTCATGGGAAATGTTTGGTTGGTTTTGGTTTTGTTTTGGTTTGTTTTTTTGTGAATGAGTTACCTCCATAGGTTTAGGGAAGCATCTGTATTTTAGGATATTTATCAAATGCTCAACCTTTAGGGTTTGCTCATCACTGGCTTTACAAGGACTTTTGCTGCTCATATGCTTTTGCGTTGTTACATTATTTGAACAAATCATCAGTTTCTGATTCAAAATCATAATGCTATATACGAGGTAGAGACTGTATATTGTAGTGGGCTTTTGGTCTAGTAGCAGAGCCTGAAAATTTATAGTTAAAAAAAGAAAACTAAAATTCACAACAATTCACAATCTTATTTGGAGAACTGATTGAAAATATGACTGTTGATTTTTTAATTAAAGCAAGGATTTAGTGATAAGATGCATTTTCTTGCTTGTCTGGCAGTGTGAAATTTCAGAACTTTAGAATTCTCAAGGCATTTGCAAAAAAAAAAAAAAAAAAAAAGTAAGAGAATGTGAAGTAGGTGACCCTGAGTTCAGAACTCTTGTAATTGATAACCAGTGTGCGCGCACACACAAACACACTTAACAGTAAGAAAAATTTTCCTTATCCCTATTGTCAACAGATTTCTGAACCATTTCCAATTTTTCTGCTATGCCAAATGGACCATTTTGAAATGAATCTGAAGTCACATTTAAAAGAAGGATATGATGTGATTAATAAGAATATTTTGATATTTTTTCATGCACAACAAATCCACGTGTCTGGAGGATTGATTCTGCTCTCTCTCTATGAGCATGGGAAAGTATGTCTCAGGCTCAGTTTCCTGTCTCTGTCTCTCCAGAAGCAGTTCTCTGTATGTTTCTCCTGTGAGCTCTGAGGGAAGGCCACAGACCTTTACGGGTTTGTGACAGTTGAAGTTTTTCCTCACCTCCTCCCCCAGAACCTCCAGACCTCAGAGAGGAGAAGTTGATTGTAGTCAGCATTGCTGACTGCTGCAAGCCTGTGACTGTAACCTCTGACAGAATAGCTCTACAGCCATTCGTCACCCCAACCTGGAGTCAACAGTGACCAGTGGAAAAAGAGGCAGTTCTTAAATCATAAGTGAACAGGCTATTAAAGGCTCCACCCTTGAGGGTATCGACATACTGACAGAGTTGAGTTTCGCAGCTTGACAATGGTCGCTTGAGATTATGGATCAACAGTCAATGGAGCTGAGCTACGTTAGGGACTGTGGGGCATCTGGCCAGACACTGGCCAAAGAGAGTCCACCATGCCCCTGTGCCTTTGGATGTGCAAACTATGCCTACCATAATGGTCACCCCAATCCAAGCTTCTCCTTTGTAACCCTAGTCACATTATCTTACAAAGGCAGTCTAGAACTGCTTGTCCGTATCTCTTTCTCTGTTTGAGTATCTAAATATATTTAGCTGCAGCCTGTTTTCTCTCCTCTGTTCCAACATAGTTAGGAGACTCCTCTGGGATGCAGACTCTGCTCCTGGGATGCAGACATTATTTTCAGGTTTGGCCTACTTCAAGCAACATTTGAATGAGCTTTTGGGACAGGTCTTTTGGACACAGTTGTCAGTGAAGCTGCAGGTCAGAGAGAGTTGCACATGCTTCAGGAAGAGATGATAAAATGCTTCTACATTAGACATAAGAGAGACAGCCAAGGTAATTCTCATAGTTCCTTATTGGCCTTGCAGACCCTGGTTCTAGGAGATGTCTGTATGTCCTCCCTGGCAACTACCCACAGATAATTTCTGCTGATACAAAGTCAGGATCCAGGCAGGCTTCAGACTGCCTTTTAGAATTTGAACGGATGAAACTCTATGACTTAAATCAACTAGTAGATGTTAAATTTCAATCCAGGAAGGATTCTATATCTACATTTTTATAGCAACAACTGGAAAATCTTCAGACACCAATGTTCTCAATTTAATGTTAAGTCAATTTCAGCCTAAACCTGCTTGTGCTTCCTGTTTCATGACTTAAATAAAGGGCTCAGCCATACCACTTCATAGGTTCAGTTAGAGCTTTTTGAGTACCCACAGGTACTCAGCAGCACCTCATATTTCATGATTCATCAAGACAGTAAGGAAGTTTCTTTGTTCTGTTGAATTTTCTGTTGTTAGCAGGATGCCTAACTTAGCTCTGGAATAATTGATGGAGCAGCCCTTTTGAATCTGGCCTCTACATCCTCGTATTTCCTCTCTCTTATAGTTGCCTTTCTAATCACAACCATTTCTTTTAGGATGATTAGTGAATTAAATTCATTGTCTATTAAAAATTCCTTTTTTCTCCAGAGCTGATACTCTGCACCACCCCAGATTTCCTATTTAAGGAACTTCTTTTGTCTTATCACCTCAATCAATACATCACTTTTTACATTTTGTTTTTTATTAAACCTACTCATCCTCATGATATTAGATGCCATCATCTGGATGTTTGCATATCAATCAAATCCTAATTAAACAGGATTAATTGTTGCTTTATAATGGCAAAAATCACGGGTCTGAACTCTTTAAAAAACAAAATTGTCAATGGATCCTGGCAGCTATATCAGAAGCAGATAAGTAAGCCAAAAAAACTCCTTCTGAAAGCCTCGGCACATTCAGTGATGTCTGCATCCGCATTTTAGGCAAAAATAAAGTTTCTTATGAGGAAATCTGCAGAGGGACCACTTGGAAATCTCTGTTCCTTCACCAGACGTGACTACAAAGTGGATGTTGCATTTTCATCAGATACTGCTTTTGATCTATAGGTACCATCCATTATTTTTCTTTTCTACTGTCTCAGCTCTGCTGTCCCTCCCTTTTTTCTGGTCATATTGCTTGCTGCTTTCCAATCGTCCTCCAGTGTAGTATATATGAGAATAGACAGCTTACTCATGCTTCTCATAACAGGAAATTCACTAGTCTGTTTTTTTCCCACCCTTGTATATACATGTGTATAATCCCTTGGGATTGTCACCTAACGTGCTGGAATTACCTCTGAGCCCGTTTTCCCTGCCAGCTTCGGACTTCAGAACCCTGCCTTGTTGAGCCAGACACGCAAGCCTGCTGCAACACAGACCCAGGTCTGCTCCACGCACCCAAAGCTGCAGACTTTAACCAAAAATTGCTCAGCAGGTCACCTATCTCCAGCACCCAGACACCCAGTTCCCAATAGGATCCAAACCCCAAATAAATCCGTTTTACTCTGTATAAAGCTTATACAGGGTCAACTCTTAAATTGTCCGCCCTCTATAACACTGATAGAGAGATATGCACATATGGAGTACAACGTCACACCCTCCTCCTGAACTTACTGCCGGAGTCTTGGACGCTGTACATGGCAGAGGCAGTACATGTAAAATCCCTGTTCGTCTCTGGTCACACCCCCTTCTAGTACCTTTAAACCTTACGATGTCATCAACTCCTATAGCATTGACCCGTAGATGAAGTAGCCAAAGACACAAGATAACCAGCAAATCTATGGCGGACAGGCTCTGTTCACACAGTTCAGCTTGTTCAGCATCTGTTGCATTTCCCAACCCCTTTGTGTACCATGGTAGGGGTTTAGACACAGATTCTCCTGTCTCTTTGGAGAAGGCTTTCAATTCAGGCATGTGTTTGAGGATTTGGCAAGGAAAGGGTGCACTGCAACCATGCCTGCCCTTGGCCCCTCCCTCTGGAATCTCTTTGTGTTAGACCTCACCCGCTTGTGAAGTTTCCCAAATGCAAAGTTTTTCTTCCTCCTGCCTTGAAGAGACAGTTTTATCTCTTACAAGCGTAGCAGGAAAAACATCTTTCAATGGAGTGCTTTGGATTGGTAGGATCCCCTCGGTCACCCCACTCTCTGTTCCCAAAAGGTCAGCTGGGTGGACTCTCCCCTCCAGGAGATTTGACCCCCAGTCTTTCCTTAAAACCTGATCCACAGGTGAAGGGTCTGGCATTTCAGATGCAGATCCTTCACCCTCCTCCTGGGGAAATGCCTTCCTACAAAAGGTGGGCAGACCCGCCTGTCCCCCCTCACCTTCCATCTGGACTTCCCTTTCTGGGTTCCCCTCTGAGGCAGACACTCCTATGTCCCCCAAAAGGGAAGGTGACCCTGATCCAGCTGTGGGCTCACAGCTACCAGCTATGACAGACCCTTCACTGACCAGCAAAATCCCCCCTCTTTCACTCAGGTTGGGCTTGCTTCCAGCTACAGAGCCCTTGGGGTCTGTTCCCACTGCAGTGGTCATCAGGACCCCAACTTCCATCTCCAGGATACATGTCTGCGCACCCTAGGGCCGGGTCTGTCCCCTGCTGAACTACATCTTGCTGGCAGTCAGCATCTGGGAAGGCCTCCCTGTTACAAGATGGAACATCCCCCTCCCCCAGGGAGATGATCACAGGACAGGAGCTGGCTCTATCCAGCCCTTCCCGCGGGGACCTGCTTTGAGACCCAGGGTTACAGGAACTGGCCTCGACCCTCCCTGCCCCCAAGGGCCCATTTTCCACTGCTACCGAGTAATTAAAGAGACACTCTCCTATTTCCCCAGCAGCACATGTGACTTCACCCTCCCCTCTGGGGCTTTCAGCACAAGATTCCTTCTTGCTGCTAACAAACCCTGGGACAGATTCTGCCACATCAAAAAAGTCATTCCCCAGTAGAAACGGTGCAAAATTGTGTGCCACCGCTGCAACAGTCAGTTCAGTCTGCAAATCACCAGTTTCCATATGTACCTTGGCTAAAGGTGCCAGGACCTTATAACCTCCCACCAGTTCTAATTCTGCCATTCTTCCTGGTAACAAATCCTTCTCCTGGGTCTGGTCCCTCCTGACCACAGAAATTTCTGCACCAGTATCTCTCCAACCTTGGAGCACTTTGGCATTAAGCTTAACAGCATGCATATGTCCCCTGCTTGATTGTGTAGAAGCAACCTTTACAAATCCTGTGTGGTAAGACGCAGAAGCCTGGGATACACTGTGCTCTGAGATGCAGCAGCTTCATGTGTTACCTGGTGCCTGTTCCCACTCAGCCAAGGACATTTATTCCTTAGATGCTCAGTGGACTTCCAATGATAGCACCTTCTGGGCTCCTCTGTTTGTACAGGAGACTTGGGATGAGTAACAGGGGAATGGGGAGGTGAATGCCCAGTCTCCTTTTTCCCCAGGGGTAAAAAGGTGATTCTGCTTTCCACCAACCCTGTACCCCTCTGCCAGTGGTTTATGTTTAATTGCAGCTTATGATTGCTCATAAGAGTCTGCAAGCCCACTAATTCACCCACTGCATCCATCTTTTTGTCCCACAAATACTGTTTTACATCATCACTGCACGTATTCAGGAACTGTTCCTGAGTAACTAAATCACACATTTCTTCAAAGCTTGTAATGTGTTTTCCCCTCACCCACTTGTCTAACAAATCTCTCATTTCATTTACATAGGCCACATTACTTAATCCAGATCCCCTCTTAAGACTCCTGAATTTAACCCTGTAGGTTTCAGCTGTAATCTGGAACTGGTTTCAAAACCAGTTCCTTAAATTTACCATAGTTTGAAACATCAGCAACAGGCATCTTATTGAATATGTCCAGAGCTCTCCCAGTCAATTCTGCAACCATTTTTTGATCCTCGGGAATCACATGGAGAGTGCACAGTCTCTCAAAGGTGATGAAATACTCGGCAAGATCACTGGATTCATCATATGGTGGACATAACTGTTCCCATTTGTGGATTTTTGGGAAAGTGGAGCCAGCTGCTGAAGGGTTTTGTCTCGTCCACTCCATTACAGCCAGTTCATGCTTCTGGGTCGCAATCTGGGCCTCAATTTCTTTGTCGTTTAACTCCAGGGTTAGCTGCCTCTCTTTGCTTCTCCTCCTGAGCAGCTTGTTGTGCTAACCTCTGGGCTTCAAGCTCTTTGTCTTTTAAGTCCAGGGCTTGCTGGTGTGCAGCCCTTTGTCTGGCTGCTTCTGCCTCCATCGTTTCCCTGGCCGCAGCTGCTGCTTTGAGCCTCATTTGTGCCTGCCACATTTGAAACTCATGGTCCTTTGCCTTCTCTTCCACTTCCAGTCTGGCCAGCTCTAGTTTTGTAGCTGCCTCACTGGAAGTCATTTTCCTGCATTCTTGTGCTTATTTCCCTCACCTGAAATAAACAAACCGAAAATAACAAACCAGTAACCACTTTGTCTGTTCTCCAACCATGACACTCAAAACTCACTTAAAATCACTACCAGTGTCTCAAAGCAATCAGCTGTGCACAGATCCTGCTCGACTATGCCACTGTAACGGGTTCGGTCACAGAGACCCACTTGGGGCTGTCACCTGACGTGCTGGAATTATCTCTGAGCCCGTTTTCCCTGCCAGCTTCGGACTTCAGAACCCTGCCTTGTTGAGCCAGACACGCAAGCCTGCTGCAACACAGACCCAGGTCTGCTCCACGCACCCAAAGCTGCAGACGTTAACCAAAAACTGCTCAGTAGGTCACCTATCTCCAGCACCCAGACACCCAGTTCCCAATGGGATCCAAATCCATTTTACTTGGCATAAAGCTTATACAGGGTAAACTCATAAATTAAATGATCTGCCCTCTATAACACTGATAGAGAGATATGCACAGCTGTTTGCTCCCCAGGTATTAATCACTTGCTCTGGGTTTACTAATAAACAAATGTGATTTTATTAAGTATTAAAAGTAGGATTTAAGTGGTTTCAAGTAATAACACACAGAACAAAGTAAGTCACCAAGCAAAATAAAGCAAAAACACTCAAGTCTAAGCCTAATACATTAAGAAACTGATTACAGGTAAAATCTCACCCTCAGAGATGTTCCAATAAGCTTCTTTCACAGACTAGACTCCTTCCTAGTCTGGGCCCAATCCTTTCCCCTGGTACAGTCCTCGTTAGTTCCAGCGAACATCTTAGGTGGAAAGCAGGGGTGTTCTCATGATTGGCAGCCCCTTTGTTCTGTTCCACCCCCTTTTATAGCTTTGTCACAAGGCGGGAATCTTTTGTCTCTCTGGGTCCACACCCCTCCTTCTAAATAGAAAAGCACCAGGTTTAAGATGGATTCGAGTATCAGGTGACATGTTCATGTCCTGTGAGACCCCAGCCTACATTCTTCCTGGGCTGGCTCACACAAACATAGGAAGGCTTGCAAGTAAACAGAGCCATTTACAACCAATTGTCCTAGTCAATGGGAGCCATCAAGATTCTAAACCACCATCAATGGCCCACACTTTGCATAATGACAATAGGATCTCAGAGTTATACTTTATATTTCTAGCTTCAGAAACAAGAATGATACATGCATACAAATAGGATGACCACACTCAGTAGATTATAAGCTTTGTAAGCATACCTTACAATAGACCTTTTGCCTAAAGTATATTCCAGTTGCATCATATTCATACTCATAAGCATATTTCCATAAAACATCTGGAGTGCAATGTCACAATGTGTTTGTAGTTTTAGGGTTTAAGTGTTGTAAGTTTGGACTTTGATGCACTTTACAGGCTCACGCAAAGGGAGCAGTTCAAGCACCAATAAAGTTACGCAGGGAACTTTTTTTTTTTTTTTTTTTTTTTAATTATCCTAGTCAACCCCGAAAACTTCCAGACTAGTGGATATCTTCTTACATTAAGACATATTTATAATAAGAAAAATAGTCTATTTCCTCTATTTACTGTCTCCATTGTTCAGTTTAAATGGGGGAAAGGGGGTATAGATTGTTTTAGGCAAAGAAGAAATGCTGGGCTGCTTTGAGTCACAGTGTGTCAGAAGTTCTTCTAACACCTCAGTATTGGATTTGCTGCGAGATAACACATTGGACCTTCAAGTCTCAAACTGTCATTTATACCACATTTAACACTTAATTTTTGTCTTGATTTTTTTTAATATAGTGTATTATTTTTCTATTTAAACATGTAGACAATAACATCACAAATAATATTTGTTACCATTCTCATCCTCTAGAGGTAAATCCATTTGTCCAAGTAATACCCTAACATCTGTGCTAGAGAGGGAAATGCAGACAAGGCCTCCACCACCTATTCCTCACTACAGACAAACAGATAAGTAAGAACTATTTAGTTATTTAAGTGTTTTTGCTAAGTTAATGTTTAATAAAGTGACAGTATGGGCCAGAGCCCTCACAACTTTGTCAGGGCATCTCAGTTTTGAATTGCCATACTCATGCTATTTTAATCTCTTAAACAGATTGCTAAATGTGACAATTTATGATGAAACGTATTATAATTCTAGGACATGCATTAGAGACTACCTATGCCACTCTGGTTTTTAATCAAGAGCGGTAGTGAACATTACATGAGTGTTTTTCTTGTGTTTACACTATGTGGCATATCATTTATTACCTTCGTGCAATAAACAATTTTTGAAAGATCTTGCATACATTGATGCATTCTGAACATCAAAGAGCCTCTGAGGGGGAAAAAGCTAGAAATCAAGGGGATTTACTCACTAAACATGTCTGCCCACATCATTGCAGCAGTTTTTTAAAATATAGACAAATAGAATGTATGGGAGCAGTAGAAAGGGATAGAAGATCTCTTATATAAAAATGTAATTTATATGAATCTTGTGTCCAAGTTTGGTTGCCTCATCAAAAGAAATTGATAGAGTAAATGCGGGGGGGGGGGGGGAATGCATCAAAGCAGTGAAAAATCTTAGCTCTTTACCTAGTTACAGTTCACAAAATTGCAGAGACTATTTAACATGGAAAAGAGTTATTCAGAATTAAAATTTAACCGAACAGACCCTTCTCTCTACCTTTCTCATAATGAGCACAGGGGGTCACTCATTGAAATAAAATGGGAATAAATTTAGTGCCAGCAAAAATAAATACTGCCCTTATGCTATATAGTCAATCTGTGTAATTTATTGTTGCAAGAGGTAGACACGCATACTGTAGCTAGACTTTAAAAGACTGAATAATTTTATAACCATTTCTAACTATTCTTTGCAAACTAAGATATGGGTAATTAGTTCATGGCATATAATGGTTGTCCGTGGGGGTCACTAAGTATTGTTTCCTCTATAATGGCTAAAGAGGGCAAAAGTGGGGACTTCACATTCCTTGGGTACTGACCGCTGCTGGGGCAAGCAAGATACCAGACTCCTTGGCTGTATGGTCTTATCTAACATATCAGCTCCTGTGTTTGTAAGACACGGTGGCCTTGAGTGTGCATAGGCTTTTAACTTTCTGGGCTTCACAACCACGAGTTATATTTGTTCAATTTTGGCTCTCAAAATGTTTTGCTGAATCTGGATTTAAGATGATCGCACCCTTAAAAGGATATTGGGAAACCACAGGCTTCTGATGCAGGGAATGTCTTCTGTTCTAGATTTTGACAGTATCTAGCAGAATATGGGCCTAATTCTGGTTGGTGGTTTCAGGGACTACCAGAATACAAATGAATAACAATAATAGGCTGTTCATTCCTTGAGAAGATCCAGTTCATCAGAGTGTAAACTAACAGATTCAAGATTAAAATCCAGCCTAAACCACCTGCAGGCATGCCTAAACCAAGGCTCTTAAATCAATGCTTAGGAGCATATATAAAAGTAACCTGATTTTCAGTGGTGCTTGGCTCTTGCATCTCCCATTTACTTCAGTGGAATTCACTGGAAATTAGCACCTCCTGAAAAACCAGCCTGCTTATTTTTAATTTTAGGTGGCCAGGTTTGAAAATCTTTGCCTCTGGATTAAAATTATTTGTAAATAAAACATTCATTTAATATTTAAACATTGAAATTTTATTGGAAACAGAAGTTTTTGAAAGGCCTCATGTCACTGTCTTCAGATATATGCAGTGGTATTGTAGTCATGTTGGTCCCAGGATATTAGCGAGACAAGGTGGGTGAGGAAATATCTTTTATTGGACCATCTTCTGTTGGTGACAAGCTCAAAAGCTTGTCTCTCTCTCCAGCAGAACTTGGTCCAATAAAAGATATTTCCTCACCCACCTTGACTGTCTTCTGATGACAGTTAAATAGGATATTTGAATAATTATCTATACTAACAGTCGATGATTTCATTAATTTTAATCCTTTGTTTTTATATGTAGCTGAAACTTGACCTGCAACTATCCCTCACTTCAGAGATAGTCTTTTGCTTTTCTTGCATATATTTTTGAAAAGGACAATATTCAGAACATTGGCTCGTCTGTAACCAAGTTTACATTTGCAAAATAAACTACCTAAATATCAGTGTGTTGTAGATAAATTGCTTGTGGTATTCTACCTTAATATTAGAATGGCTGAATTGCTAATATTAATATTTATGAAAAGCAGAGTTAATAAAAGGTAGCTATTTGTTCAGTGGGCACTGAAATGTACATTAGAGTGAATAATTAAGATTTGATTTCTGTAAAACTTTGTAACAGCTTTCTAATGCCTGGTGTTTATTGATCTTGCTGTCCAGTGGCATAATATGCCATGAGATGTTATGGTGTTTTTATATCAGTTTGGGAAAGTCAGTGTGTTATCCTTGCTTATGTAACTGTATCTTTCATTTAACTGAGAATTGTGTTCTGTAATATTTTATGGTTTTAATTTCAGGAATAATGGAAACAGTGGCTTGCAGAAAACATTAAAAGTGGAGCCAGTGATTGACTACTTTGATGTCCAAGACTGAAATGATCAATCTTAAATTATTATTTAGAAAAATGGAGGTGAAGATACATATCTATCATGCAAGATGCTTTGTGGCTAATTAAATGATTAACTATTCAATATATTCAAAGTTTAAAATAGTAAAAAAGCACTGGTGAGTTAAGTGTATGAGAAACATAGCATTGTCTAGAAATTAACTAAAATTTGAGCTCTGAATATTGCAAGATAAGCTATTAAAGGCCAAATTCTGACTTCAGATTGATGTGCACAGCTCTCATTGAATGCACTGAGAACTGCATGCGTTCCTCAAAAGCCAGAATATGGCTTATCATTTATTATATCAATGAAACTGATCTTTTAAATTTGACTGCAAATTTTCAGCTGCTCTGCATATTTTTACATAAGTTGCAAGTGCAGGTATTTTTCACCTCAGGCTGGTACATTTTTCTTCTCTGTTTGTTTGGAATCAGAGTCCATCTTTACTGAAGTGAAACTGCCTATCCATTAATTTATAGCTGAAAAAACTGGTAATTAAATTCTATTGGGGTAGTTATATTAGTGGCAAACATTCCAAAGATTTATACTGAGGGATCCAACTGTACTGTTAAAAATGAACAAATCACAAATCGCTATAATATAATCCTAATGGATATATTTTCAAGGAGTTTTCATGTGATTTTAATCATTCCATTTCTACTGCAAACATATCTGAGTTATTCCCACATGGAATAAAACAAAAAATTTAGCTCAACTCTACAATATGTTACATATTCCCAGTGCTTAGGCACACTGACACCCGCTAATGAGGAGTACATCTCATGTTCACTAGCATTTGAGGATTTTGGTACTTTCCTTGTTCTTGAGGTGGAAGAGGGAAAATGCCATTTGTTTGTTTGTGGGTTTTTATTAAGCAAAAGAATAATGGCTTAGTTTTCTTTGTGTTTTATTTAGTTTGTATATTGAAACCTTTAATTTAAATTAAAGGATTAAATTGAAAATGAAAAATATTTAATTCAAACGCTTGAACAGTTAGAACTCCACGTATGGCTTTGATGTTCCATAGAGATTGAATCATATGTCTAGGATTGTTAAACTGATGACTTCACTAGTTTAAACTTTTCCTCTGTACAAGCTTAGAGCAGAAGGTATGTGCTAGGCTTGTGTTGGAATATGGGTTGAGATTGCAGCAATTCTTGAAAACTTCATAAGAAAGTCTGGTATGTTAAATCCCTCTCAATGAAAACAGCCCTTTAATGATCACATTACATTTTAAATATATTATACTTTACACAATTCAGTAGCCAACACAATCTCCTAGATTTCAAATTGTTTCACATTAATGGGTGCCCTCATGAGGAAGGAGAGACCAGATCTTTAGCTGGTGTAAATTGTCATAGCTCCATTGACTTCACTTGAGCTACAACAATTTACCCAAGTTGAGGATCTGGCCCCTTATGCTAATAAGCTCCTTACTCCTCACACTATGCTCTGTCTGTCTCACCCCTCCTGACTGCACACAGCCCTAGAAGTTATTCCTTTGTGCAGCTCTTTGTGCTCAGGGGCAGCTTCTGTCTGCATGTCCCAGAGAGCTTATGGAACTTTTGAGGGCCATTAGCCACAGAGGTTCATTTTGGGGTGGATATGTATCATAACATGTTGACTTAAGATAACTGTAATATTCTACATTGTCAAGATGTTATGGGTTTTATGGCTTTCTGTGGATGCATGTGTATAAAACTTACTTTGTTTAGGAAATGACAATGCAATGTAATATGTTTCTATTTAAATGTTTGAGATACATTTTCTCCACTTAAAAGAACACGGTCGAGGAATGTTGATCTTTTTTGTGTGTGTATGTCTTCATACAATGAAAATAATTTTCTTTACCTTTTTCCTTTCATTTGGTGAACAGAAATGAACTTTTTTTTACGAATGAATCTCAAATAAACTAGCTGTTATGGTTTGGCATGACAGTGCACAAAATTCTTAAGCAAGTTGAGCCCTTGCAAGGTGCTTAACGTTTTCAATTTCTGTTGACATCAGTGGGTGAATAGGTTGCTAAGCACCTTTCTAGAACTGTGATCTTGCAGACATTTACACAATTAAGTAGGCCTAATGGGAGAGAGAGTCTCATTTATTTCAGTGTCACTGCATGACTGAATGAGGGTTTGCAGGATGGGCCCATAGTTTGTGACCCTACATTTAATTTATTTTAACACAGGACTTCATTTAAAATAGCTAAAAACATCACCTACATACTTGTGTGCAATTTGTATGAGGCTTTCATAGCAGTATGTCTAGTTCATGCACTTTAATTGGTATTTTTAACAAATTGTGATCTTGCAACTTAAATGTGAGGCTGATGAGAAGCAGTCTAGAAGATGTTCAGGTTCTGAATAGAACTTTTAATACTTCCAGCTTTTGATCAGAAGAACCAGAGAATTTTCAGTTTGCAAAATAAGGCTAATAAATATTTTGAATTCATATCTACTGATTAATCATAATGACCCTTATGAAATGTCTAATAAAAGTTTTGCTCAGTTGTGAATATTCACATATCTCTACGCCTATTTTAATACCAAGGAGGTCAAAGCCTATACAACAGCTTTTAAAAAATCATTGACACTGAAATGTTTACTCAAAATTTCTTATTGTAATAGTTCCGTTAAAAAGATAATTCATGCACTTCCCTGGGGAAGCAATACCAAAACACGTTTTTTCCAAAGTATAATTTTCCAGCTTTAAAAATGAATTCAGCAAGATTTAATTGTGGTGTTCTCCCTTCTCTTCTGGTTTGCTTTGGATCATTTTACTGCATATGTGTGCCTAATGGGAATGCTTTTCTAATATACCATTTTGTATTTCTTCTTATTCTGAGTTGGCTCTTAGTCTATTTATCTAAGAGAAAAAAGAGTGAAGTCAGTGGCATTGACTTCAGTGGAGCCAGTATTCCATCCTTGGTCTGTCAATTACATTGCACAGGTCTCAGAACGATACTGTATTTTGTAAATTGTTCTGTATTGAGTACATTACAATAAAGAGATTGTCTTTGAAGTGAACTGTGAGGAAGAGCAAATTGGGTACAATACATATAACTTTACCAAGTGCTTTTAAACTATTGTATATAAAATACAGGTAGAATTTTGGCATTGGGACTATGTAACTGTTCAATGGTTTAATGCGTTAAGAAGTGCTCTGATTATTCAGTGCTTGATGTGCATAATCTAAAATCCTAGCTGTGCAAGTTAGCTATGGAGACCACTGTTTTGTGGCAGTTTTACAGTATGTGCCTCATGATGAAGTAAGCAAACGAACATTGCTCTAAAACACTCTTTCCATAAGTTATTTGGTGACAGATATATATATCTATATAGATATATAGATATATATTCCACTTGATTCCTTTCAAGTTTAGTGGTGTAACAGGTGACTTACTGTATAAAGCTGTAATAAAATTAAGTTCAAATTGCTATGTGTTGTAGTTATTTGCAAGCTTTTAGGTAGGTGTACATGTGTTGGGAAGTTCTTAAAATGCTGTAGGAAGGCAAATATTTGAATGGAATATCGGGGGGGGGGGGTTCTTCACCTCAAATTCTAAAATATCAGGTGCAGTTTTCTTCCTGCATTTCAACATCTTTAAACAAACATCTTTTTGGAGGGGTCCATACCAAAGGGGGAGGAGAGAGGGGACTATCTGCTATCTATGTAGAATTTAAGAATAATTTTTTGCTAACTCAAGATTTTATCACAAGTCTCACAATATATGATCCTTTTTTGAGGAATGATCTCCTATTGTATTCCACTGTGGGTTTACGCATGCACACCATATGCCCAGAGTCGGAGGATTTGAATGTAGAGATATTGGTCCACACATGCGCCCTGGCTCATCTCGTGCCTCCAACCCAGGGGATATGGGGAGGCCGACCAACTCTCTCTCCAGTTCCTTCTCACCGCCGCATGGTCTGGGTTGGAACCTCCAGTGTCCATAGCTTCAGGTTCATCCTACAAAATAAGACTCTTTGGTGCTTGCTCATGTTGATTCCATTCTAGGTGCGTGCGCACTCATGTGCATGGTCGTCAGAGATTTTTGCCTTAGCGGTATCCGAAGGGCTGACTGTGGTGCCCCCTTGAGTGCTGCACCCAAGTGCTGGTATATCAGGTGCCGTCAACCCTACTCCCTCTCTGTTCCTTCTTACCGTCCGTGGTGGTTAGTCGGAGTGCCTTTCCTTGCTTAGCAAGGGCTAGTGGGTTTTTTTCTCCTTTGGACTTCATGCCTTAAGGCTTTGTATATAGTTGATTCTTCAGTAGTTAGTGTTTGGTTAGTTGTTAGTAGTTAGAGTCCCAGCGGGGACTCTGCCCCGGGGCATGCCTCAGTCTCCAGGGTTAAAGCCCTGCACAGACTGTGAAAGGCCTAAGCCTGTTAGTGACCCCCACAGCAGCTGTCTCAAGTGCTTGGGGGAGGCACACGTAAAAGACAAGTGCCGTATCTGCAAAAACTTTCAGCCTCACACGCCAAAAGAGCTGAACATTTGACTGGGCTCTTCTGATAGAGTCCGCCCTCTGTCCGGCCTCCCTCCGTCCTTCCTCCAAGCCGTCTCGGCATGATTCGCCGAGCACCTCGGCATTGGTGCCAAGTGCACCCCCAGCGCCAAGCTCTGTTCAGCACCGTTCCCTGTTGCTGGTACTGAAAAAGAAGGCCAAGAAACAAGGCTCCCCAGCGCCAGGAAAGAACAGCCATGTGGCAGCAGGCAAAAGACCCACCTCGGGACATCCGTATAGCCCAGAACCCTGCAGTTGGCTTTCTCCCGTTGGGGACGTTAGCCCCATGAAAGGTCCTCCTCCGACTCCTGTGAGCAGTATCCGACCAACTCCCCTGCCAGCACCGACGCCCTCACATACTCCCCTGGCGTAAAGGGAGCAAAGGCCACCGACACAGCAGAGGCCGCAGGCTTCAGCAAAGGCTCCCCAAGAGGGCAAGTCAGCCAATAAGACTCCTCCGGCATCAGTGGAGTACCACTGATCCCCCTAGACACTGACGCGCTCTCCACCTCCGCACCGCCAGTCACCAGAGCCACCACCGAGATCATCTGGGGCTCGCCATAGATCACCGGCACCATGATCATGGTCCCCGTTATCTCGACATCTATCACTGAGAGGGAGGCGTAGATCCCCTTACTACCAGTACCGATTGCCTCCCCGTCGGTCACGTATCGTCACCGATCCAGGTCGCCTATGCTGCGGGAGTGTTCTCTGTCCCGCCCCCAGTCTCCCCAGCATCAACACCAGTCTCCATTGTTATCTGTGGCCTCTAAGCAGACCCAGGCATCCATAGCCCCTCCATGGTCTCCAGAAGGTGGTTCCTCCAGTACTGAGGGACGGTTTAGCCCCTTGCCTAGAACCCGACAGCGCGACTGGGCAACTCAGACAACAGTGCAGTGGCAGCCGGGTCAGTGGCCTTTTTGGAACGCACGGGGAGTTCCGGTCATGGCTATGCAGCCATTGCTCCACTCATCAGCTGCCACCTTGGAGCAACAGCTGCCGGCACCGGGCTCGGTGCGGGAAGCACGCCCAGAGGCTGAGGCTGAGGAGGTTGTGACCACTCCTAAGCCGCTCTCCCCTGCGGAGGAGTAGGACCAGGGCCCCCTGCCTGTGGTACAGTCCTAGCCTTCGTCCCCAGATGAGGCAGTCGCGGGCCCCTCCAGGGCCAGTCTGGCGGATGACCTTAAGGACCATCAGGCTGTGCTTCATCAGGTGGCCGAGAATTTGGGCCTGGAAGTGGAGGAGATGGCTGAGCAACGGACATCCTATTCAACGTCCTTTCGGCCTCTGCCTCGGCCTGCGTCGCACTACCGATGCATGACAGGGTCCTCAAAATTGCCACATCCATCTGGCAAACCCCTTCCTCCATCCCTCCCACATCAAAACAGGCTGAAAAGAAATACTTTGTCCCAGCCAAAAGTTTTGAATATTTGTATACCTACCTCCCCCTGGCTCACTGGTGATCTTGTCGGCCAATGAGAAAGAAAAGCAGGCACAATCCAGCTCGACCCCAAAAAATAGAGGCCAAATGACTGGATTTGTTTGGGAGAATAATTTATTCCACCGCCAGTTTGCAGTTTTGGGTGGCGAACAATCAGGCACTCTTGGACCATTACAACTTTAATTTATGGGACTCCTGCCGTAAGATTAAGGAGTCCCTCCTGCAGGATTTGGCCCTACAGTTTGATACTCTGGTGCAGGAAGGCCCTACGGCGGCCCGGTGCTCCCTGCAAATGGCTTGGGATGCAGCGGGCTTGGCAGCCAGAGTGGTAGCGTTTGCGGTGGTAATGAGGCGCAGCTTCTGGCTTCAAACCACCAAACTCTCCCAGGAGATGCAGACTGTCATCCAAGACCTCCCATTCGATGGGAACGGTCTGCATGGGCTGAAAGACACGATGGGCTGAAAGACACCAGAACAACCCTTTGTTCGCTGGGAATGCACACGCCACAGTCAGCACATAAGCAGTTCCGGCCGCCTCTGCCGCCAAGGCTGTGGCAGCCTCATCCGGGGTCTGCTAGAAGAAGGGACAAAGACACTCGGTTTAGTCATCTTCGCCCTTCTACCTCCCGCTCACCTGCGCAGCCTGGCCTGGCGAAACAGTCTGGAGACCAGAAGCACTCATTTTTATGGCGCACTCGACAGCAACGCCCCAGCCAATTCCCCGGGTCCACCGTTCCTTTTCCTCAACCACCTTCACCCCTACTGTTCGGCCTGATCGCTGGTCACCTCGGACCGCTGGGTACTGGACATAGTATATCAAGACTAGAGCCTGCAATTTTTGGCCACCCCTCCCTCCATGTCCCTCTTCAGGGATCCTTGTCACGAGCAACTCCTCGTTCAGGAGGTTGAGATCCTTCTGAGCCTGGAGGTGGTAGAGGAGGTCCCTCGGGACATGAAAGGGAAGAGTTCCAGTCCCAGTACTTCCCGTTGCCTCAACAAGTCTCTCAAGAAGTTTTGCATGGTTTCCCTGACCTCCATCATCCCCTCCCTGGATCTGGGAGACTGGTACATCGCTCTCGATTTACGGGATGCCTATGTCCACATTTCCATATTCCCAGGTCACCGGCGTTTCCTCTTCTTCAGAGTGGGCGGGTGTCATTTTCAGTTCATGGCACTGCCCTTTGGCCTATCTTTGGCCCCAAGGATGTTCACAAAATGCATGGCGCCAGTGGCGGCTTACCTGACACATTGAGGGGTCCAGATTTTCCCATATCTCGATTACTGGCTCATCAAGGGCAGGTCTCGGGTGCAGGTGCATAGGAGCCTCAATCTGGCGAGTTCCACATGCCACGATCTGGGCCTGTTAATAAACAAAAAAGTCCACATTAACGTCAGTGCAGCGCATAGAATTTATCAGGGTGATCCTTGACTCCATACGAGCCAGGGCCTTTCTTCCAGAAGCACGTTTTCAGGCCATGTTGGATTTCATCTCCCACTTAAAGAACCACCTGCTCACTACGTCCCTCACCTGCCTACATCTGACGGGCCACATGGCTGTGTGCATGTATGTGGTCACCCATGCTTGGCTCCATCTACGACCTCTGCAAGTGTGGCTGGCCTTGGTCTATATCCCCAACAGACACAGGTTGGACTGGGTGGTGAGGGTGCCGAACCATGTCCTGTCTTCCCTGCATTGGAGGGAATTCCCTTCACAACCCCATCTCTGACCCCAGACTCCAACGCTTTGGATCTGGGCTCAGGGGCCCACGTGGGCAAGCTGAGCACCCAGGGCCACTGGCTGCGGGATGATCTCGCCCTCCATATCAACGTCAGGGAGCTCAGGGTGGTTCACCTGGCTTGCCAGGCTTTCTTGCCCCACCTGAAAGGCAAGGTGGTACAGGTCCTGATGGACAATACCGCCACAATGTATTACATCAACAGGCAAGGCGGTGCCAGGTCCTCAGCCCTTTGTCAAGAGGCGCTCAGCCTTTGGGACTTTTGTGTGCGGCATGCCATTCATCTGGTTGCCACCCACCTGCCAGGCACCAGGAACGTCTTGGCAGATCACCTCAGCAGGACCTTCTCGTCTCGCCACGAATGGTCGTTCCATCCAGAGGTGGTCAACATAATCCTCCAGAGATGGGGGAACTCCTCAGGTGGACCTGTTCGTGTCCAGACAGAACAGAAAGTGTCATGTGTTCTGTTCGATTCGGAGTCTGGACAGAGGTTCCCTGTCAGATGCCTTCCTCATTCCATTGTCGGGCCAGTGCCGTTAATTCACGGGGTCTTCATGAAGGTCAAACAGCATAGAGTGACGGTTATCCTGGCATGGCCTTGTCAGCACTGGTTCAGCACGTTGCTGAGCCTTTCGGCAGCCACTGCCTCTTCGGCCGGATCTGCTGTCCCAGAACCACAGCACTCTGCTGCACCCAAACCTGGCAGCACTGCACTTGCCGGCT